TATATGTAGATCAACAAAAAATTTGACAAAATATGTTATTAAAAGCGTCTCCAAGAAACTCTCTATTTTTAATTAATATATTCTATCATTTGAAGAGTATCTATAAATTTAGATAATTAAAATTTTGAAGTACCCTAACAAACTCTTTATACTCAATACTTAATTTTATTACTCACAAAAAAATATTTATTAATTTTTCTATCCTTTAGTTTAACAAGCTTTTCTTTAATTTCTTACATTAAAAATTGAAACACTTTGAATGCATTTAATTATAGATAGTGAGTTGGGTTCATCAAATTTGGAGAGTCAATTCCACTCTCTAAATTAAAATTAAAATTAAAATTTAAAAAGTCTCTTGACCATAATTTTGAAGGTTAACTCTTTAAAATAGAGAACATCTTATATTTTAATAGTTTTTTCGAGATGTTCTAAGTCCTTAATTTGCTAATTTTTGAAAGGTGGGTGGGACAAATACCAGGAAAAATGGTTTGGGGAATGTGATGCAAGATACTTTAAGTAAATATTTTATTGTTGTTAATTAATTTATCTTTCATAAGGAATTTTGTTAAAATATATGTATCTTCAGAGTTTTTGTTTTAAGTCTAAATTAGAATTTCGTGTTTAAATATAGAGTTAGGATTTTATTGTAACTTGGTTGATTTTGAATATTAATAGAAACACTGAAGAGTTTCTTTCAATTCTCAATTCAACCTCTATTCGTGCGCTAACCAACAGTTAGTGATTCATGTTATTGTTAAATCTCGTTTCTATTTGCAACAGTTGGAATCAGACCACAGCTACATCTTTTTGATAGAGACCCGTTGGCATTCATGAAGCGTTGATGGATAGGATTCATAATAGAGAATATGACAAAAAAACTACCAACGAATCAATTTGTTAGAGTGGAAGGACATGTTGAAGGCACAATAATAGGTATCGCTGGGTGCCATTAGAGAAAGTCAGTGTTAGATCGATGACAATATGTATCCACATGACAGAATTGTGGACATGGGTGGTGTGAACCGATGTGGAACTAGTAGTGGAGGGGGACTCCTATGACGATAATTATCCTTTTTGTCCCTTTCTGTCTCAAGCTAGATGTTGATTTAGATAAAGATTATAACGATCCACATTTATTAATGAGGAGCTCGACATTGCATGGTTTGAGAACTTCAATGTAGTCCTGATGGCGACAAATTCCAAAATCCTAGAAGATCAAGTTGGTGTTTTTGACAATAAAGAAAGTAAATCATTGGAGAAAAGTTATTCAATACTGATAAGTGTTCATAAGAATTAGAGAGAATTAATTTGAAAGAAAATCTAACTAAGATTGGAATAATTTAATTGAATATCACAGAAAAAATCTGGAGGAAGAAAGCTTAACAAATTCTACCCAAATTGTTACATAAAGTGACTAACTCTTGGAAATGGTCTTGGGTTTGGAGTTTTTCATTGCTTTGGAACCAAATTTGAAAAATCCAAGTAAAGCTAGATTGCGATTACAAGCTATTGTGTGAAAGATAGAGAGTAAAATTTGATCGTCAATCTTTTCCATCCAAAGGAGAACAATGTAAGATACATTTAAGTTAATACTTTATTACTCTTAATTAATTTATCTTTTATTCAATTAGGAGTTTTGTTAAAATATATAGGTTTAAGAAGTTTGTATTATTTAAAAGTTTAATTAGGATTTTGTGTTTAAATAGAGAGTTATTGTAAGTAACTTGATTTTATATATTAATAAAACGTTAAAGAATTTTTTTCAAATTGTCCTAGTGTTCGTGCACGAATCAACTATTAGTGCTCATGCTTTGTTGTTGCATTTCACTTAGGATGAGATTGATGCTTATGTTAAAGGTTTGTGATGAAATACGCAATTTACCTTTTTTGAAAAGATCAGAAGGTACTCTATATGTTGAATAATGTTACTTGTATATAATAAAGTTATATATTATAGTTTATATTCAGATTAGGTTTCAAAAATAAAGTGGGAAATTTATTTTTTTTTAATGCTAATTGTACATAAACAATTACACAGTGGTTTATATACATATGCGGTGTCAAAAAGAGGGAATTTTTTTTTAATTATTGAAGAAATTCTAACCCAATCATATATCACCGCATCATGTGTATGTAGCACAAGTTTTTGTTTATTTGGTTGAAAATGCAATTATATATCACCATATCATGTATATGTAAACTAATATATAGATCATTATGTACATGCAACGCAATTTTTATACGTTTGTCTGGTAAAATTTTTATATATTATAAGTTGTGGACTATGCATAACATGAATAAAAAATGTATAAATGTTGTGAATTCTACAAAATAAAATTATGTTTAACTGGATTATAAGAAGTCCCTGTTTGATGCTACTTAATTTACTTTTACCACTTTGTGGAACAGTTGTTTATTGATTATAAAATCAGCAGCCACCAACAACCATTCAAGATGATGTGTGTTGTCACATTTCTTTTCCCTTTTCATTTTCCTCTTTGCTCTCTTGTACAATAATGACACACATTGAAATTTCCACACATATTTGTCTCATTCCTAAGTAAAAAAACCTATAAACAAAGATTTTCACGAAATAACGAAATGTTAATTATTTTTAAATTTATAATATAGAAATCGAACGGTTCTAATACCACTTTCTCACACCAACATTTCGTCTACCCACGATATTTGCTTCTTTTATTTCGAAAAGATTATTATCACATCTCATATACTTCCTTATACATTCATGTTACAAATCTGTGCATTCGTTTTTGTGATATGATGGGTTTAAAATCACCCTAACTTAATTTGTGTGCCATGTAGCCACGCAGTTGTTCCCACAATAAATCTTCTTTTGAAATTGCATCACTACAACTTCGTCCTACTGATCTAGGAGGTCTACCTCTACTTCCTCATCACTTTCTTGTTCCACTCTACAAAAGGCTTTGTCCAGATTGCCGTTGCGCCATAAAAATTGTACACCACCATTGTCGCAACAACAATTGATGTTTGCACACGAAACAAGTAGCTTGGATGCGATCAAGAATTTCCATTGCTGTTTAAATACCACAAGATGAGTGATAGAAATTGAAATATTCTTGTGCATTGTGAAATCTTCGACGTCTTTCTATTGGCACTATATGGAACTCCTAGAAATGATATTGAATATCCAAACTTTTGTATGGAACCATATAACCCAGTCTGTGCGCAAATCCAGAGTCCATGAGATAGTACTTCCCAGGAGCTAAAATGGGAAAATTAATATTCAAATTATGAATTGCGTTCACCGAAATGCGACTATCGTGTGTATTTCCTGTAGTCCTAGGAAGCATGAACATAAAACATAGGTTAAAATCGCATGCAGGAAGCACGTTTTGTGTTGAAATTCCTTTGCGTCCTTTGAAATTCTCTCGCTTATGATGCGATAAAATGGCCCTCATGTGCATACCTTCAATTGCTCTAATGCAGTCATTGTCACACAAAACATATGTGAATTAATCAATATTTGAGGAATATTGCATTAAAATAAATCAAAATCATGCATCTATGAATGAAAACGTAATATCACTTCATTGTTGTCACCTGGAACACTAGATATTCATTAGGGTTAGGATGATGATATTCGGCTCCCTGATTGTAATCCGAGTCGGGCTTGATAACATTTCTAGCAAATGTGACCACAACTCAAACCACTGTTTTGAAATAGTGGCTGATCGTTTGCAACGAATGGTCAAAAATGTTCGCACCGTCTGCATCTTTTTGCGTGAGCTAGGACACAAAAACACACCAGCTTGTTCGTAGACTTCAATATTAGCACTACTTTGGAGATTATACTCATCACAGAACATATGCAAGAAATGAGTGAACATATTTAGGTACATCCTAAACACTTGAAAACACGTTTGTGGATATGCATAATAATTTTGTAGTATGAACAGATATCTGCTTCGTACAAAAGGAAAAATGAAATCTTGGATCATTTTAATGATGCAAGTAGTTACGAACCATTTGTTTGGAAATGTGAACAATATTTAAGCCAAGTTCCAATGTCCTCTTCAAGTTGTTGCATGACGACCTCGTCATCACAATTATTAGACACATCGGAGTTTGGATGAAGATTGGATGGAAATGATATTGTGACACATTGTATGTTTTCAACAATAAAAAAAATTTATTTAACTAATGGCAAACACTTGAGTGTAGTAGAGGCATAAATGGTTTTTTGGCATACAAAAAATGTGTGCAATGAAATTTTAAAAAAAATGCACGTTCAATGCATTTGTCCATGAACTACAGTTGTATATATAGGCAAGCCTTGTAATGGTGTTATTTCATACATGAAGAGACAAGTGCCTCTAATCAAACAATCTTCGAATATGTTGTATGCAAATTGATTACAATTTCTGTAAAGGTGATGGACAAGATGGATCACCGTATTTTCCACGCAAAAGTACTAGTGTAAGATAATGGTAAAGTCCATAACATGCAAAAGAGTTATAAAAATCTTTCAAAACACAAATACATATGCAAGCAAACAGCAAAGGGTTGCAGAATCTGACACAAAATGGGAAATGCAATTCATGGAAAAGTGGAAAAGCTAGACAACAAGCTAAAACCAACAAGAGAGAGGGAAACAACTAACCAAACTAGACAACATAAATATTCAACTATTTAGATAACATATTACCCATCGAAAGAAAGACAACGTGATGAACCAACTATATGTTCCTTATGGTCATCATAGGACCATTTCAACCAATGTATTGTTCTCTCCTCGCCTTTAGCAGCCCTTCATATATCTCTATTTCCATGAATGCTGAGGAAGGATAAAGCAAACATGAAAAGATCGTTGACAAGACCAGCTGCATCAATTTTCAAAATGCCATTGTCAACCGAAAGATCGCTTAAACTCTTTTTCCGAGTGTACGACTGCAATTCTATAGACAGGTCTTCCATTTGATCCACTGAAGTGGAGATCACGCATGTCCCGTATTTTTTTCCCCTTCTCCAAAAGTGATGTGGACTTACGTTTTTCACCAGTTCGCTTGCTCGATCTTTCCTTCGATGCATTTGAATGGCCAATTTTTGGGTCGTCACTAGAAGTACTACTTTTAAGAGATTTTGGCAAACGATCCTTGTTCACTGTCACTGTCATCATATATCCCGAACCCACGCCGTGACAACTTGGTCGGGATCAAAGCGTACTTAATAAAATCAAATGTGTCACCTAACAAACAACTTTACCGATCGAAAATTTCTCCAACATCCTTATTTTTAAACCTATCGTACTTGGGGTTTTCCTATAAACAATAAAATGGAGAAAAGCTCAATGAGAAATAGCTATAAAAAATCCAACGTCTGAAGAACAAGGCACACGTGCAATTGTGTGAAGATAACAACCCGAATACAACCATGAAATGAATCGAGCACCACAAAACAAAGCACATACAGTATAGAACTATCATCTTGACAAATTAGCACAACAATTCTGAAAGCAGTGTACATTCTTAAGTGGATGCTGAGAGTGAAAGAGGACTAAATGAACAGGCAAAATCACCCATAAAACATGGTGCAAAGTCTCCCGACAAAGGAGAAGGCAAGCGCAATGCTAACTCTGCTACAGAAAAGAGAGCTAGTGGATGTGAGAAGATGCAATACAATAACTTTAGAGGCAAGAAGACATATAACCTTTCGCAAATTAACTTCTAATAATCTTACAAGCAATAACAATACAGGCAAGGCACATGACAGTGACCTTATGGTCAACTTCTAATGAATCAGCAACGCTTAGCGTTTCACATGTTTCAATACACGTCATTTATGTAGTTGTTCGAGTTATGAAAATCAAATTTCTTTCGTATAAATCCAATCCAACAACACTAATCGAACCACAATCAAACAGCATGAAACAGAAGTCGTAACTCTGTAGAGAAAGGCAATTGTGCGAAAAGGCCAAAAAAAGATCGTTTAGCATTTACCAAGTGTTTTGCTTTTTACTTGATTTTTTTACCCCACCACTCATCATCAGCCACCACATGATTATCAGTTGTACTCCACGCCTATGCAAGCAATACAGTAGTTCGAACAACAACTTGTGATCAAACTTCATCAGCTACTAGCATTCTTCAGTTAGATGATTGTCCAATTCTTGTTTGCCTTTTGGTTGAAAAGTGATAGGATGCGGTCCCAACCAGCCTTTGTGAAGCATTTGCCATGACATCACCTTCCGCTACAGCCAATTCACAGGCGGCTATGGAAATTTGACGTTCCTTCATTGTCCATTTCATTGCAATACGTAACAGCTCCTCCAACTATGGTTTCAAAGGAGGTTTTCTCAATAGTTGAGATAGGACAGTGGTTGTATAGCTCTACAAGAGCAAAAATAGGGAAAAGGATTACAACTAAGAAATAGCATTCTCTTAAAAAAAATACATACAGAGATGAAAAGGGAAGGTATTTTTTACCTTGGGATAAAGATTGTTCCAGTTATGACATAGGAAGCCATTCACTTTGACAATGCCTACAAGTGTATGCTTCGGTAATTGATCTGGTAAATTTTTTGAGCAAATGATTCTCGTTACTTAAAAATGGTAGGGAAGAACCAGCAAGAGCAAAGGAGAAACTAGGATGAAGGAAAAAATTTTAATGGAGATTTCAAATCTGTAGGAAATGGAAGTCACTTCAAGATTTTTTGGCCGTCAAAATCGAAAACTTTGGGCCAGAGCTCTAAAATTCGGTTGCAGGCATTTTAGGTTGCAGATATTATAGAACAAGTGTTCGCTCTTTGGTTGTCGTTCATAGTTGGAGAAGTGGATACACAATTTGATTTTGGATGGAGCAAAGGATGTGTCGAGATTTGTCATGTAGATGGTGGGGATTAGATGGGTTAGGTAAAGTGATAAATTATGGCATCAATGGAAATGTAGAGCAATAGGTCCTGAGCTATATTTGAAAGTGGGAATCAAGGTGTCGAAGAGCTCAAATTTTTTATAATTCTGCATTGTTCATTTCTCTATTTTAATTTGAAATAATGGATGGCGAACAGGCGCTTAATAAATTTTTATGCCAAACGTACTCTAATTAAACACTTTAAGGAGTGTCAGATAGTCTAATGGTATTTTCTTTTTCTTTTTTCATAACAAGTTATAAGTAGGAAAACTTAATTATTCAAAGTCTAGTAAAGTTAGTAGTAATTTTGTTAAGCATAAATCATCTATCACATGTACCAAAATTATTTTGGTGACACGTGACTTTTCTTATACATACGTAATATCTCACGTCTATTTGCCATACAGCCTTTAGAGCTTTTAACATAAGCATAATCATCATTACCTTTAAACATGTTAACTATAAATTTCAAATCTCTAATTATTTGTATGTATAGTCCACCTCCACAATCATTACGTGTGTACCCTTTAACTCATGCCATATCAAATTTTTACCATACCAATTCTTTTTCCTTTTCTACATGACATCAATTTTTGTGCTTTAATAACATTGTATGTCGTAATTCGTGCTTTGATAGACACCATCAATTTTTCTGCATTTTTTTTTGTATATGACTATAATTATTAAATTCAAACCAATATTTCACATATACTTATAAATTAATTAATATTATCATTGTGATGAGCAATTGAATGTTTCATCATCGTTTGTTATGTTAGCAATAAAATATCAATTATTGAATTCATTCTTAATTGTTGTTGCTCTCGATTAAGTACAACTCTATATATAATACATGGCTCTTAAAGAGTTCATATTTGTAAATAATAATTCGTTATTGCTCCTAAAGTAGAATAACATTATAATTTATATCCTAGAAGAATATTACTGGCTCCTGAAAAGTATAAATTATAATTTTCAATATTCTAAAAGAATATTGATATATTACTCTTGAAAAAGAAATAGTAAAATACAACATGCTTCCAAAATAGTACATGCTTTGAAGAACACATTTTTTTAAATAATGTTTAACCCTGAAGAAAAATATGTAATTATATTATGTTGATATTGACTATTTGATTAATTATAATTTGATGCTTAATCATATTGTTCGAAACTAATTGTATTTTCTTTTGCTTTATTGTGTAGTTAATTAAACGACAAATATCACAAAACATGAATTTGCGGCACTTAACATATCTGACAAAAATTATTTATGATGGGTACTAAATGCTTTTATCTCAAAAGATTTGAGAGAAATAATAAAAGAAGGAAACAAATAATCCCTATAGGATCGTGCAAAAGCACTTATCTTCCTTCGTCATCATTTTCACGATGGATTGAAAATTTAGTATCTCACTAAGAAAGATTCATAGGTTCTTTGAGAAAACTAACTGAAAGATTTGGTCACCAAATGACTATAGTCCTTCCCATAGCTCGTTATGAGTTGATGCACATTCGTTTGCAAGACTTTAAAATTGTTAGTGAATATAATTTTGAACTATTTAGAATATGTTTAAGATTAACATTGTGTGAACGAAAAATCACTGATGAAGATATGTTGGAGAATATTTTTTTCTAGCTTTTCACGCCTCGAATGTGCTCTTACATTAGCAATATCGAGAGCATGGTTTCAAAAAGTACTCAAAACTTATTTATGGCCTTCTCATGGTTGAACAAAATAATGAATTGGATAAAAAAATCATGAGTTACGTCCAACTAGTTCTGTATCATTGCTTGAAGCAAATTGTACAATATTACCTGAAGCAAATGCACTATCAAGACAATGTCATAAATGTGGATTTGTCAAAAGGTACAAAGCAAATGAAAAGCAGTACATCCAAAAAGGAGCATGAAAGAAGTTACTTTAGATATGGAATAAAAGGGCATTGGACATATACCTATCATATGGCAAAATATCTTGTGGATGTCTATCAAAAATCAATTAAAGAAAAGGAAAAAGCGAAGACAGATTTTGTTGATTATGATGGTCCAATTAATGTAACACGTTTGGATGTCTTTGATTTCTTTATTGATTTAAATGAAAATATTGACCAACTGATTGGGTGTGGTGTAATGAAAGATATAGATTAGTTTACTTTCTAGTACTTCCTTTTGTTTTAAAAATTCAATTTTAAATATGTTTTTACTCTTCGCAAAAATTTAAAACTCTATTATGCATCGCTAATTTCATAATATAAAATTATATTTACTCCTCTAGATTTAAATTTAAGTTTTTAAAATACATCTATTTTGTTATATTTATATGTTCATGATTGATTTTCATGATACCTGCTTGATTCATAGTGATTCTACACATTCCATTCTTCAAGACAAAAATATATTTTTTGGCCTTAACATTATCAAAAAATAATGTTATTATGATATTGGTCATCGAATATCGTTGAAGGTTTTGGAAGAACTTGTATTATTTTACCAAATAATATAAAACTATTTTATTGACGATGCAATTTATTCTAATAAATTCAGAAGAAATTTGCTTAGTTTCAAAAATTTCAACTACAATGGATATCACATTGAGACGATGCAAGAAAATAATATTAAATATTTTTGCATAACTTCTTTTGTATATAGCCAAAAGCAGATAAAAGAAAATTTCATATACTCCCATCTGGCATGTGTTATACATTTATAAAAATAGTTAAATCATATATTGTCATGAACCAGAAGTTCATTAACTCAAAAAGTTTTATACTATGGTATGATCAACTTGAACATTTAGGAGCCATTATGATGCGTTAAATAATAAACAACTCACATGGACATCCTTTAAAGAACCAGAAAATTCTCTTATCTAATGATTATCCATGTGTAGCTTGTTCACAAGGTAAGTTAGACTATTAGACCTTCGGCTACATAAGTTAATATTGAATCTTCAACTTTCGTGAAAAGAATTCGTGGAGATATGTGTGGACCAATACACCCACCATGTGGAGCATTTTTTTATTTTATAGTATTAATTGATTCTTCTATTAGATTGTCACATGTTTGTCTTCTTTCCATTGAGAATGTAGATTTTGATAGACTATTAGATCAAATCATAAAATTATTAACGCAATTTCCTGATTACTCAATCAAGACTATTGTATGTCAAATTGAGATTGTTATTAAACATTCAGTTGCTCATGTTTATACACAAAATAGTTTAGTGAAATCGTTTATTAAACATCTACAACTTGTTGTTAGACCATTCTTATGAAAACAAAACTCCCAACTCTGTTTGTGGTCATCTCATATTACATGTAGCATCATTGGTTTGTATAAAACAAATTGCCTATTATGAATATTCAAATTTGCAGCTTGAATTTAGTCATGAACCTAATATTTCTCACCTAAAGATTTTTTGTTGTGCTGTCCAAGTCCTTATTTCGCCCTACAAAATACTAAAATATGTCCCCGACGAAGACTTATTTGGGTTTTGATTCACTATCTATTATTAAGTATCTTGAACGTCAACACGCTTTGAAAATTGTCATTTTGATGAAATGATTTTCCAAATTTTGAAAGGGAAAAACTATATCCTGAAAAACTAGGTAAAATTTCTTGGAATGGAACAACTCAATCTCACTTTGATCACAAAGAAATCAATGTGAGCACGACGTAGAAAAAATAATCCATCTGCCCAGAGTTATAAATCAATTACGAGATGTATTTTTAACATGAGAAAGGTGGCAAAGTCATATATACTAGAATAAAATATTTTAACAAAAATTAATGTCACTATAGGATAATCTGTTGTAATAAATGAATCTTAAATACGTCAGAAGTGTGATCGACCAGCTGATTTAAAAGACTCTATACCTCCAAAAGAAAAGTACAAGAGAAAAATCAATCAGAAACTTCAAATGAAGTAACATTAAAATTGATCAATCAAATATTGAAAATATGATTCCTAAAGAACCATAAGTGTCGAAAATAATGAGATTTCAATAAATTTATATTATCTTATAAATTATGGAAATGAAATAATATTTTATAGACAATATTTTTGTATTTAACGTTGCTCTTGATATTATGCAAATAAGGATCCCAAACCACAGTTTGTTAAAGACTGTCAACATAGAAATAATTGGTTAAATTGGAAAGAAGCTATACAACCAAAATTTAATTCCTTGAAAAAACGAAAAGTGTTTGGACTTGTAGTTCAGACACCTAAAAATATAATCCCTATAGGATACAGATGGGTCTTTATACGAAAGAAAAATGAAAATAATGAAATTATAAGATACAAAGTTCGACTCGTAGTTCAAGGTTTCTCACAAAGATCAGAATTGATTATGATGAAACATATTCTCCCGTAATGAATACAATTACTTTTAGATTCTTAATTAATTTGATTGTGTCACAAAGGCTAGATTTGCGCGATTATATATTGTAATCCAGATTTTTTATTAACCATAAAAGATTTTTCAGAAAATATTAAAATAGGAATCCAAACACATGAATATGAAGATGTTATTTCAGGAGAAAATTTATTAATAAGTACAGGATTTTTAGGGAGATGTAGTAATAATTCTCAAACAAAATACAAATTATACATAGATAAAGTAATAAATTTAATGAGTAGTAAAGGAATAAAAATGATTAAGCCTAAAACCTATGATTCAGAACTTTTAGCAGGATTATAATGGGATTTAGAAAAAATTTTGGAAACTCAAGAACCAATTTTAGCTCCTCAAGAAGCTATAACATATAAAGATTTACATGGAAGAATTAGTTTAAGGTTTGGAAATTATAGTCATATAAATAGAAATAATGATTCTGAAACAGAATATAATAATAATAATAA